AAGGGCACGAATAAGATTGAAAATGCTACATGATGTAAAAGAAAGAGGAGGGTTTGGAGTACCAAATTGGTTATTGTATTATAGAGCTGCAGCATTAGTATGGATTAAAGAATGGATTACTTTAAGAAGAGACTTTTAAAAATTGAGGGCCATGATTTACTGCTAGGATGGAATGCTTTTTTGTAGTATCAAAAAGCAGGCCCTCAAAAATATTTTAAGCAGCATTGGTTGAGAGCAGCATTATTAAAGGTTTGGGACCCTATACATAAACACTTTTATACTAAAAGATCAAGACTGATTATATCTTTAGAGGCATTTACCTTACCTAATGTATATGGGGGAGAAGAATCGTTAAGATACCAGGATATTTTGGATAAAAAAGAAAATCTGAAATTACCAGAACAATTATCCTGGTGGAAGAAAGCGCAACTGGAATCGATATATTTGAAGGATAAGAAACTAGGTTTTAATAATAAAATAACTGAACTGGAGGAAACTGTTTTAACAGCAGAAAACAAAGTGATAAATATATAAGATTTTATTGGACGATGTGATGGTTGATGAAATGGTGAAAAAAATATGATTAATGATTGTATGGGCCCAGAATATAGGCCATAATATTAATTTTGAAGACTGGGAGCAGATTTGGCGGAAAAATATAAAACTAACAAATGCTGTGTCATATAAAGAGAACAGGTATAAGATGTTTTATAGATGGTATATTACACCAGATAGATTAGCTAAACAAAATGTTAATTGCTCTGATAAATGTTGGAAATGTAAAAATAAGATTGGTTCTTTTTATCACGTGTGGTGGTTATGTGATGTTACAAAGAGGTACTGGAGATCATGAGATAATGGAAAAAATAATAAGAACTAATATCCCGTTTACTCCAGAGATACTGTTATTGAATATATTTCCGAAAGACTTTGATAAAACAGATAGGTATTTGATAGTTCATATGTTGACAGCTGCAAGGATAGTATATTCCAAATATTGGAAAATAATGGAAATACCAACGAAACAAGAGTATGTGAACAAGCTATTTGAAACAGCGGAAAATGACAAACTGACACTTGAGATGAGAGCCAGCACAGAACGGACTTTTAAAAAAACTTGGAAGAGATTCTATGATTGGTATAATGTAAACATAATTGATGGATAAATGTAGTAATTTAAGAATACAGAAAAGATAAGCTTAGTAAAATAGATAATGAATTTAGAAATTTAATAAGCAGAAGGAGTGAGAAATGTCTCTTGCTATATGTTATGTGTTGTTGGAGGTAGTTATGTGTTGTTTGTACGTATGTTTGTAGCGTATAATGAAAAATAATAATAAAAGTGTACCCTCGGGTACTTAAAAAACAACAACAAAGGACAAATTCATTGCAGATTTTTCAAAAAATTGTTGTTCAAAGTGTGGCAACTTCGTTGAGAGGCAACTAGGGATGTAACAAATATACAGAAACCCGAAGTGCCCCTTTGTCTGTCTTTCACAGTGGATTGATAATGATCATGGCCTATGCAAGTACTCTATTGGCTCACTCCAACTGATCACTGCAGAAATAGACTATTACTTCAGTATTATATAGTTATGTAAAATTACCATATTTCTGTTTAGTGGAGATAGCCAACTCCAGAAATCAAAACTAATAGGCAAAACAATAATTCATAGCTAACATGGAGTCACTGAGGGAGAACTGGCATTTTGAATGGCTATTTCAGTAATACATCCCCTCCATTATACAATGCAAACAGAAGCTGCCCATTAATGGCTGTGATTTTTTTTAAACACCGATGAAGCGAAGCCCACTTTGAGTCAGTGCAAGTTTACAGATGTGTAGCTGATTGTTTTGAATAATTAAATGGTGTCAAAACCAGCTGTGATGAATAGCGCCAGGGTCTCAATTCATAAATAATTGAGGAGACGGCACTGCATTTGATCATTCCCATCAACTTCTACTCTCTGGAGGATAAATGTTTGTCCTGAATACCATCAACATTGTTAAATGCCTCAATATCCCTGTTCAGTCATCCAGCCAACAGTCGATTTAACTAAATCACTTTTAACACCTTGCACAGCCGCTGTCCTCATGAATACAAAATGTTTACGTCTGCCAGAATGGGGTGTTCTGTTGTATTGTTTCTGAATTATCAGACAGTGCAAAGGCTGTGACGAAAAGGCAGCAAGAAGAAGCCTGAAAGGGCTGTACTGAAGATGACAGTTGCAGCCTCATCTTTATTACATTGAGAAACCGGGTGTTTGGAAAATAAACTCGTAATTTTGTGCCAATAAATTTGTAAATACAGCTGCCTTTTATGACTCAGTCATGGCACTTTTAATACTTGGGCACTAAAGTGTGTCAAGCCCCCAAACCGTATTTCTCTTCTCCCAGCAATGGTGGAGGTGGCCTAACAGCTGCATACTATTTTTGGCATAGAGGGTTGGAAGAGCCCTCCTTCCTGACATTATTTTCAAAGCCCGATTGTGAGCAGGCTGAAAGGAACTTGAGAAACAGAGCTGTTAATACTGGCCTTTGGAATAACTGTTTTTGTTAATTAGTGCCTGAGTCTTGCCACCATCATTAAGCATGACACAGTATTTATATAACCCACATGAGTCTGTAAACCCACCGAATACATGCAAATCAGTTGTGAGCACAGCTGTACAGCCTGAATCTTGTGGTTCGGCTGTAAATGTCTTTCTGGTTCCTCTCTTGGTCCCCCCCCTCCCAGTTTTTTTATCACATTATAGGCATCCTACTTATTCAATTAAATATTTTCCCCCTATTTGTTTATTTAATTTATTTCAAACATTTTTGCCCCATACTCACAACTAAATGGTTCATGAGACAGTTTAAAAAACAAAAACAAAAAACGGCTTGCTAATAGCTTTAAAAAATATGTACAGTGTTTTTTAACTGAAAGTTGCCTCAAGCAGAACTCTGAAGAGGCAGCATAGAAACACTCTCAGTCAGTCAATCAATCAATCAATCAAACACCATAAGCATTCAGTAAAACAACAGCATAATATCCATTCTAAATACACATTAGATAATAACAGAACGTCAAAAGAACAACAAAACAGATTAAACAACAATACATAGCAGCGGTAAGATTGACAGTAATTATACATCATTAAAAGCCTGGAAAAATAAAAATGTCTTCACCAGGCGCTTAAAACTCATAAAAGCAGGCACTCTTAAAATGCAAGGAAGCAATTCCAAGGACAAGGCCCCACAAAGAAGACAGTTCTGTCTCTAGTGGCCACTGAGCTCACACCTGAAGGTTTCGCAAGTCCCCTGAAGATAACTGTTATCGATTGGTTAGGCTAATATTGAGACAGTTCTTTAAAATATATATTTTATGTGCAGTGTCCAAGTAAGAAATCCTTTAACATGTCTGCAAAGAGATCTACATTTTGCAGTCTTCTGAACTTCCAAACACATTACTTAGTAAGATTTAGCAGGTGTGATCATGGCTCATAACCTTCGTGTGTGTGTGTGTGTGTGTGTGCACAGCATAAACCTTTTCAGTGCCTCTGCCATGATAGAACATGCTCACTGGTTTCTAGGTCATAATCCCCCCCATATCTTGAGAAACCCTTAAAAAGTGGGTAACCCACTCATGATAAATCCTTCTGCAATCACAATCTCTGTCCTCTTTGAGTGCCCACCATGCAACTAATAGAACACAACTCATCCAGCGTAGCACCTCTGCCTGTGTAACCTGTGTCTCCCCAATCCACATCTAATCCACATGGTAGGCCTGGGACAGCCTTCTCTTTTCCTCACTCAAGAGCTGCAGAGGCATAAGGACTCAAGCACCCTGTGTTGTTAGACTAGAAATCATCCAATCTCTTGTGCTAGAGTCTTCAAATCACAGGTTCATTCTCATGCAACTCACCCTTTGCTTATCCAAGGCAGCTTAGAACAAGGAAACATTTGACTGCAGTAGAAACTTTTATGAATGAGGCTTCTAAACACATACCTCGAAGTCTTCTGAGAATCCATGCTGGTTGTTGGCATATAGCTCACTGATATGCTTAACAAACTGTTTGACAGGAATGGCTTCCATGTCATCTGTAAAACAAAATACATTTTGATCTATAACTAACATTTTCTGTTAATAAGGACTGGTATGTTCCTATAAGAGTTGCAATATCTCCACCTACTACTAGTTAGCTAACTGTCAGAATATGAATGTGGTGTAGTGCATCTTCTCAACTGAATCTGGTCCCAGATTATGTCCATTCGCTTCACACATAGTAAAATGAATACTAAACAGATGTGAGCTATTACATCTGGTTTTGCCACATTCTTATTTTATTGATCTGACTGAACATATAATCTTATTTTATTGATATAATTTTATAGAAGCTCAGAAGAAAGAAATTCATGAACACAGAACAAACAAAGTAGATATGGATAGGCTAGCGTTTGACCTTTTATGAGTTGATTAGGGCTACTTTAGTCATGTTTGTCTTCACAGTGGTTGAAATATCTCAGAACATCTACATTTATTTATCTGGGTACATTTTATCCTGTCCTTATATATATATATATATATATAGTCAAGTCACAACTGACTTACGTTGACCCAATAGGTTTTTCAACGCAAGAGACCTTCAGAGGTGGTTTGCCATTGCCTGCCTCTGTGTAGCAACCCTGATATTCCTCGGAGGTCTCCCATCCAAATACTATAAAGGGCTAACCCTGATGAGATCTGATGAGATCAGGCTATCCTGGGCTGTCCAGGTCAGTTTCCAAAATTTACAGTATGTCAACAAAAGGGATGAACAAAGATCAAGGATAGAGCTACAAGGTCTAGCTAATTAAAGAATGAAGTCAAACCATCTTTTGGATAGGCACACCTTCTTTACCCCACATGCATTTCATAACTGCATCTCCTCTTTCTAAGTTCAGCTCTCTCTGTTCTTCCCTATCCCCATCTCGGTCTGTTTCTTCTTCAGTTCTCTCTTCTGCTACATCACAAATAAAAACACGATATGGCAGTTTCATTCCCTTCAAGTTCCCCATCCCATCTGGTTAAGGCGTCCAGCAGTGAAAGTGTTAATGCTGAGGCATAAAGCCACTTAACCTCACAATGGGATGAGTCCATCTCCATACCCACCTTTATCAAGCTGCCAGCAAACTCAGGGATACAGCATTGCGTAAGCTTCATTACTGGGTGCTGGTAAGCTCTTCATTTGAAAGAGTAAGGGATTGAGGGAAGAGAGTTCTCCCTCAGTACAGTGAACCGCTACATAATAATCAGACTCAACCTGGCAATATGTTTCATGATTCAAACTTATAAAACCAACTGAAAAAGGATGGGTTTTGATTTACAAAAAGCATACCTCAAGCAAAACAGAATGTGCTGTCATATAAATTTTGTAAAAAATTTTCTTCTATTGAGAAACCACTGATTAAGATAATTTGAGGTGCTGTGATTCAACTGTTTTGGTATTCTCCACACAGCTACTTTATATAGTTTGCAAACATCAGGAGCACTCTATTGTGGAAAAAATGAATATTCAACCAGAAAGAGAACTAAATTCCAATAAGCAGTCATTATTTGAATATTCCATCTACTTTGATGGTGTTTGATCTTCTCAGCCCATACATGCTAAAGAGCTCCTCAAATAAAATATGCTAACATATAAGGAAAGGGCTCCTAGTAGGTGCCTCTTATCTCTTGCCTGCTGCTAAGCTTCTTTTCCAATTCAAGACAAATGTGCTTCAGAGACCATAACTCTTTTAGTCTTCTGAAGAGATTAATGAAATCCTATAAAGGCTAATTAGGAAACCTAACAGTTGCTCAATGCATATTCCCATTTGTGAGATTAGCTTTTTTCCTGTCTAAAATCAGACTGGTATTCATTAGTGTCATGATAAAACACTCTTCCTACTAGGCCTAACGTTAAATAAAACGAGAAGAGATTTTGCATTAGCGGTCCTTTGTAACACAATATATATTGATATTTTCCTACCCTATTGAAAAGACTCAAAATGTAAGGTATCCTATGTCAAGTCAGAAGGGGATAAAATATATTAAAACATGAAAAACCCACCCTAGTTTAAAATCAAATTGGAAGTGCTTACTAATGCGTTAAAATCCAGTTGACATGCTAATTTACAGACAGAAAAAAACTTTGATTTTAGTTCTTGCTTTTGGAAATCTTGGAGCAAACTGTGTTAAAGTAAGTGGTCTTCTGAAAGTGCAAAAGGTGGCAGGAAGGGCAGGATAAAAACGTGCCAATAAAAAAGCTAATTGGAGGGGGCAATACTGTACCATCTTATTCTCTTCTACGCATCGAGAAAGCTTTGAGAACTTTGCATGGTAGCCTAGTGGAAGCCTAGTGGAAGCCTTGAAATTAGCGGCACAGGGTTTGAACTTCAGAAGAAAAGGATCTATGCTTTCCAAACTGCTGGAGCAGAGGAGCTGTTGTGAGACTATCTGAAGAGATACAGCTACTAAAGTCAGGAGGTTGGGGGAGCTAAGAAGGAAGAAAAACGTGGAAGGAGAGAGAGAGAACACATCCTCAAAGATGTCATGGGTGACTGGGTAAGACCTTCTAGGGTTCAGAAGATAGAGTTAGGGTCAGCTGCAAGGTGCCGCAAGAACATGTCAGTAGATATGGCATTTTGGCAGTGTGAGTTAACTGCATTTGTAGTCCTGCTATAGGCACTACGTCAGACTGTTGCCGGACATGCGTTTCAAAGCCACACCATTACAGGAGATGCTTCTCGAAAGACTAAACCACATGTTATCTCTAGAGGTTAACAACAAAAGGCAGCTGGGCTGGGTTGCGGATGGAGGAGAGGAATTTGAACAGATGCTACACTGCTGAGTAGGGTGTATGTACTGCACAACATTTCTCCAACAGAAATCTCCTTGATCTACTGTTACCTGCATTAATTTTTTTCTAAATGCAAGGAGACTGCAGAATGATAGTGGGGTTGTTTTCAGCTACCATGACTAAGAACAATTTGAGCGGGGAGGTAGTCGAGGGAAGCACAATTTCTATTGAGAAAACAGTATACAGAAGGAAGAATTAAATATCCTTCAAATCCAGCCCTGCTGCACTAATCCAGATCTCATAAACATGCTTTTTAATATTAAAAAAAATGTTGGCCCATGTCATTTAACCATTAGGACGTGCCATCCTATATTCACACTAGAGTAAAGTCTCACTGAACTCAGATGGAACTTACTTCCAAGTAAGAATGCATAGGACAGAAGTCTACATCCATCACATTAAGGATCTGCCCCCTGTATTGAGAAGAAGGATGTAATCAAAATATTGTGTTTGGACATGCCTGGAATGGTTTGTTTTTCCATCTTATCACTGCTCTTTGTTAGTCGTTAAGTCAATCAAAAAGATGGGTTGTTATCTAATTTGTAAATATCGAGTTATTTATGTAAAATAATAGTAGAGGAGCTGACTTTAATGCTACTAAAGTCTCAGAGCATTTCCGTTGAATTCATATCTGCACAAATCATAGATGCAGGAACTCAGCAGATGCTCTCCCCAGAGCTTTAACTATATGCTGAATGCCCTTTAAGATGAGGGCACCCTACTGAAGGCAGTGACCTTAGAATTACAGATATAAATTATAATTAATGAGCGACATGCACAAGGCATGCTGTTTCTTGCTGATTTTCAAATGATTCTACCAGCAAATGCACACCAACAGCTATTTTGTAAAATACAACCACTCTCGAAAAAGGTAAAAAGTCAGATTTTGACAAAGGATAGTAAATGTTCATATTCAATGAATATCCAATGTTTCACTAACTCATAGGCAGTTGTCAATAGCACCACTCTGGAAACAAAGCTGTTTTTCACATTGGAATATGACCTTTTTTGTACAAAAAGGCTTTATGGCCTATCTCATCGTTTTGTTTTAAGAAAATGACACATTTTATGGTGAAATCAGGAGCTGCGGTGGCTCAAGTGGTTAAGACGCTGAACTGCAGGCTGTGGAAGGTCAGTAGTTCAGCAGTTCGAGACCTGGGTTGCCGCATGACGGAGTGAGCTCCCGTCTCTAGTTCCAGCTCCTGCCAACCTAGCAGTTCGAAAGCAAGAAATTGCAAGTAGATAAACAGGTACCACTTCGGTGGGAAGATAACAGCGTTCCGTGCGCCTTGGTGTTTAGTCATGCCGGCCATATGACCATGGAAATGTCTTCGGACAGCACTGGCTCTTCGGCTTTGAAACGGAGATGAGCACCGCAACCCTAGAGTCGGACTCGACTGGCTTTCGAGCAAGGGAACCTTTACCTTTACCTTTTTATGGTGAAATCACGTCTAAAAAATTCTGAAATACTGGGAATCTAATATTTCTTTCCCAATTTCTCATTAGCAGCCTCAGGGTGCGTTCAGATGGGCAGCTAATCTCGCCATTATTTTTAAATCTGTCCTCATACGACCAGAATCCCCTGGGGGAATCGCCTTACCACGCGCTGCTTCTGCTGTGGATTGTCTAGACCACGTCCACTGAAGGAGGCACGCACGGTGGGGGGTTTTAATTAAAAAAACTTTTTGCGCATGCGCATAGGTGTGATATCCATGCATGCACAGAATCAAGATTTTTTAAAAATGGCGCCTGTTCAGGATGGTCTGACGTCAGACCATCCCAAATAAGAACCATTTTTTAATTGCACGCTGGAATGATCAGATGGGGGCAAGTCCACGATTGGCCCATCGGAACCGAAAACTCCAGATTTTAACTAGTACCTTTTTAGTATGGCTCGGAAACGCAGCAAAATGGGATACTTATGGAAGACGGACGTTTCCCAGATGCTGATGTCTGGACATTATATTTAAATCCATGAGGCACTCATGCCTCGTGCAGAACTAAAGCGCCATCTGAACGCACCCTCAGAAAAGCAGGATTTGTTAAGTACAGCAAAGTTAATTTAATTTAAAAATCCAGAACTCTTCTTATACGGTTTCATTAAATCATTCCCCTTCTCTCTCTCTTTCCTTGTCTATTTGTCTAACTTTCCCGTAAATACTTTTGTCGTTAGTCAAGATTAATCGCTAGTATCGTACAGAGGGCCTAAGCTGTTTTATG